AAGATGCGGTGGAACGTGGTGTTTTGGGGACTTCATTAAATCGTCCTGAGAAACAAGACCCCATGCCACCGCAGTATGCCCACCAAGATCATCTTGTAAGAGCTGCCCTCCACTTCAGGATGCTCATGATCAGGGAACAAAAAGAGCATTTGAGGCTCGCGAAACAACTGGCTGAGGCATGCAGAGATGAATGGACCCGGCGACAACCAAAGTCTCATGAACAACTGGAGGCAGAGGAAAGAAGGGCGTCTGAAGTGCGTTATAAAAGCGTCCTTAAGAGTCTCTTGGGTACCTGGGAAAATGTTAAAGCAGAGGTTAATCGGCGGCGCCTAGTTGAATGGGAGGCACAGGAACAAGCTCGGGTACGGAAAGCCCTCAACGAAGCTGTGGACATTTCTACGCAAAAGCTTCAGGCTCGTAGAGCGCAACAGGATTCGGAAGAAGACACTGAAGAGGATGATGATGAAGATGAGGATGCAAATGATGATTCCGATAATGATGACAATTTAGATTCTGACCCTAGTGACGACGAAGATAATATGTCCTCTTCGGAATCGGAGGCTGACGAAGAGAATACCAAACACGAGGATGAGCAACTTACTGTTGATGAACTGCGCGAAAAATACGCCGCCCTGCCAGATATTGTGCCAGCCAGCGATGACAAAGAAATGACTGGAAACGGCAGCGAAGATGAAGACATGGAAAGCGATCCTTCCATAGACATGGATGACGACACTGAATCCAGCGACGAAGAGGAGGACAGTGATGAGGAAGAGGACAATGACGTGGATGGAGGGAGCCGTGCTGATCTTCTTGGATTTCTTTTGCCTTCCGATATCAAAGATCTTGAAACGAGGCAAGCTGAGTTGGGGCCCGTTGCAGAAGTGGTGGAAGGTATGGGCGAAGGTTCAACTCCAGTCGTACCAGACGACGCAATGGATTTAGATACCGAGGATAGTGAAGTTCCCTCCATACCCAATGGAGAATCTATACCGCCTTTAATGAATGGAACATCCAAAAAGTCACCTCTGATCGAAGAACTGTCCACAAGTGAGCATCATGATTCATCTAGCAAGGTAAATGAATTGTTATCTGCACATCAGCCACAAGAGGTCTCAGCGATGAGTCCCGATCGAAGCAGCCAGCCCACTCCAAGAACAACCGAAACTAAGCCTTCAGAGGTGGATTCGGCATCATCTGTGGATCTTCACCATAGTAGTCGCCGCAACACACAGAGCGCAACCCCTCAACCTTCAAACGGACTGAAGACTCCGGTTCCTTTTCTCCTGCGTGGCACCCTTAGAGAATATCAACACTATGGTTTAGATTGGCTTGCCGGTCTTTATGCGAACAACACAAACGGTATTCTAGCGGATGAGATGGGATTGGGGAAAACGATCCAGACCATAGCATTATTAGCTCATTTGGCCTGCGAACACCAAGTCTGGGGCCCCCATCTTGTTATCGTACCCACTAGTGTTATGCTCAACTGGGAAATGGAATTCAAGAAATGGTGTCCAGGTTTCAAAATCTTAACTTACTATGGGAATCAGGAAGAGAGAAAACGCAAACGTGCTGGCTGGAAGGATGATGATGCTTGGAATGTATGCATTACATCATACCAACTTGTCATACAGGATCAGCAAGTGTTCAAGCGACGACAATGGCACTACATGATTCTTGATGAAGCTCACAACATCAAGAATTTCCAATCTCAAAGGTGGCAAACTATGCTGAATTTCAACACTCGAGCGCGATTGTTACTGACCGGTACTCCTTTGCAAAACAACTTGACGGAATTGTGGTCCTTACTATACTTCTTGATGCCCTCGGATGGAAGCGAGCAAGGTGTTGGTGGTTTTGCAAATTTGAAAGAATTCCAAGACTGGTTCAAGAAGCCGACAGAACAAATCTTGGAGCATGGCCGGGAGCAAATGGATGATGAATCGAAGGCAATCATTAGCAAACTTCACAAGGTTCTTAGACCTTACCTTCTCAGGCGATTGAAAGCAGATGTCGAAAAACAAATGCCCGGGAAGTACGAGCACGTTGAGTTCTGCCGTTTGTCCAAAAGACAACGTGAGCTTTACGATAGCTTTCTAAGTCGAAATGATACCAGAGATACCCTTGCATCGGGTAATTACCTTTCCATCATCAATTGTCTGATGCAACTGCGAAAAGTTTGTAATCATCCAGATCTCTTTCTAGATCGACCCATTATGACTTCTTTTCCAATGGAAAAGTCTGCAATCACCGACTTTGAGATTAAGGATCTCTTAGTTCGTAGAAAAATGTTCCGCCAGGAACCTATGTCTAGAGTTAGCTTGGATTTCTTGAATCTCGTGCCCGCGAAGCATGAATACTTGCCTGGCATTTTGGCCTCCGAAATCAACAGACTCAGTGCCCGGCGTGCCCTAGAAGTAATGAGGGAGGCTCAGCGCGCAAGAGCCCAGAATGCATTTACCAACCTCGACCCTTCAACAGTCAAATCAAATCTGGTGTATTTGGAAAGTGCTTCCAGGTGGGGACGATTCGAAGAGCTTCAGCATTGCGTATATCTCAATGCACTTAGACGACAACAGAAACCTATTTATGGTAGTTCTCTCATTGAACGTCTAGATCTTCGTCTTGATCAGCATCCACTACAAGCGAAGCCTAAGCGACGAACCAAGTTGATAGAATGGTTGGAGGAGTCTTCGCCAATTATGCGTTCAATGGTTCCGACATTTACCTCACGATCTCAAGCCCTACATACAACCATCCAAAAATTTGCTTGTGTAACTCCACCTGTCGTGGCGCGAGACATGAACTCAGTTATGTTCACACCTAAAGGTGTAAGTAACTTTCAAAGCACCATCGCCACTCGAGAAACAGATCCCTTCCACGAGGCACGCATGAGACTATCCATTCAATTTCCGGATAAGCGTCTTTTGCAATATGACTGCGGTAAATTGCAAACTCTGGACAAATTATTGCGCAAACTGCAGGCCGGCGGGCACAGAGCACTAATCTTCACTCAAATGACAAAGGTGCTTGATATTCTTGAGCAATTTCTCAATATTCACGGACACAAATACCTACGCCTTGATGGAGCTACCAAGATTGAGCAACGACAAATTCTTACGGATCGCTTCAATAATGACACTCGAATTCTTGCTTTCATTTTATCCAGTCGCTCGGGCGGTCTAGGTATTAATTTAACGGGTGCGGATACTGTTATCTTCTATGATTTGGATTGGAATCCAGCCATGGACAAGCAATGTCAAGATCGTTGCCATCGTATTGGACAAACACGAGATGTTCACATTTATCGTCTGGTCTCAGAACATACTATCGAAGCCAACATCTTACGCAAAGCGAACCAAAAGCGTATGCTTGACGATGTCGTTATCCAAGAAGGAGAGTTTACCACGGATTACTTCAACAAGATGAACGTACGAGATGTCATTGGAGAGGAAGAATCTAGTCTTATGGATGGTGATGCCGCAGCCAATGCAGCCATGGATCGAGTTTTGGGTGGCCCTGACAATGACAAAGATGTTCGACGCGTGTTCGCTCAAGCCGAAGATCGCGAGGATGTCGCTGCAGCTAGAGTCGCCGAACGAGAAATTGTTCAGACTGACGCAGCCGATTTCGATGAGAACGCAGCTACAGCATCTGCTACTCCAGGTGGCACGGGAACTCCTGCAGAAGGTGTCCCAACTCCTGGTGCCGATGGAACACCTACCGTTGAGGACCTCATGGAGATTGATGAAGACGAACTCAATGCTTGGGGCCAGCCAGTGAAAGCAGCGGATGAGTACATGTTGAAATTCATGTCTGTGCAATTGGCAGATGCACCCATTGAGTTGCCAAAGGATAAGAAGAAGGGCAAGAAGGGCAAAGACCATCGAGATCGTCATAGACGAAGATGAGGAGTCTGTTCACTTTGGGACGATTCAAACGAAACCAAACAAACTACTTTGTAATTTATTGATTTACCAAATATTCATAAGCGCGTGTTTTACTAGAACAGGATTCAATGTGTATATGAGGAAAAGGACGGCGTTGCAGCGACATGGAAAGAAAGTTTTATTTTAATTTAGGTAACAATGGCATTTTATGCATGAGATGGAGTTTCATGGCGGAGGTTATCATTGCGCCGCTTTGGTTTCACTGATTTGATATGAGGGGATTGGAATTGCCAAAGGGAGGAAGGAGGGGTCAGTGGATGATGAAAAAGGATTAGGTGGTTTATGTAAAATTACCTATACGTAGTACTCAGGTTTGAGATGACAGGAATAGAGAAGAACTCAACTTTGAAATTATGATGATTGAGTAAGTAGTTGGGTAGTATTTAAGTGATGTGTGTAGTTGATAGTTGGTAGTGTGTTGGTTGGTTTAGAAGGTACGTGTTATAGACGAGTATATATATGATTGATATATATTATTGGGGTTAGATGAGAGGGTGATTTTGGATTGACGAAGTAGGTATAGGTACCTACTAGGTAGGTATATAAATATATATACAAATTACCTATTATCTACAATATTATCTAGATTACCTACGTAATCAATATTATTCGATATAAAAATCTGAAACAATCACAGTTGGATATGAGGTCTACCTACGATAGGTTGACTCGATTGATATACTCGTACTCTGTACTCAACTACGACGTATCTTCCCAAAGATGAGTAATCAATGCATCTGTGCCATGTCGATCGCGATGACTTTATCGGATCGGATATAAGACGCTTAAACGGAAGGCAGACAGTGTACTAGAGACTAGGCAGCTTTGATCCCAACCTCTTTTCTTTTCCACCTCTTTTTGCATTTCCTCGGAGCCAATCATTTCCATCCATCCAGGCGGGACATCGTACTATCATCGAATTCTTCGTCGGACTAATGCCGGTAGCTCAATAGGAATGCTTTGCTTACCAAGTGCATACTCGGGTTCGCGAAGATGATGAGATTTCATTTCTGCGTGCTGCTGGTTGCCATGTAATATACTTGCATACGTAGGAGAGCGGGGAGAGACAGAGAGAGAGAGAGAGAGAGAGAAATGGTAAAGAAATCAACATTATCTAATCATTTGATAATGAGTTAAATATCTTCTCATAAGTTAATCAATCATAAGTACCTATACATACTTCATATCATATCATATCAATTATCTCCCCGTCCTTCAATTCGGCTTCCAGTCCCATCCTCTCTTTCCTTCCTTCCTTCCTTCCGCTGCGTTCGTTGCACGGAGATATCTCCGCTTCCATAACCTTGAAAGCCTCATCCGAACATTCCGACTTCCCTGTGCGTCGATTGAGCTGAAATTGGAGTAAATAAACTTCATTGCAACTACCATACAGCATTATAAATCATTTTTCATTCATTGGCAGTCCTTCAAAGCTCTCAAGATATCATTATACTTTACTACTATCATATCTATCATATCGTCTCACACATTCAACAAAGTTTCTCTGCAGATTGGCTGAGACATCGAATATCTACCTTGCTTAACTTTGACATACATGAAAAAGAAGATCACGAGACATCAGTTTTTTATTTCAACTCAATTATATATCAAACCTACTTCTACGATATATATAACTGTCCCTGTAAAGGGACTATATAAATCACGCCAGATTCTGCTTGAAGAAGGAACAAAATGAACGCAACATCCTCTCTCAATTTCCCAATTTCAACCGCCATTTCTCCAGCATTCGAGAAATGGAGTCACGAGACCATTAGAGCTGCTGCTTTCTTTCTCATTCCCACCGAGATTTTCTATTTCTCCATTTACTTCTTGCTCAAGGGGCAATATGGAAAGTATAAGAAATTATCGGCGTTATCTTTAGTCACATTTTGGTTGAGTAGTTGGATGAATCCGATTTCTTGTGGCCCAGTAGCTGCGTTGAGGAATTTCGCTGGTTCGTATCTCCCATCTTCACAAAGTCGCGCGAAGAAACCAACAAAACTGCAATGTACTGATTCCGTCTAGTTGCAATTGCGACCCTCAGACTCTTGGATGTATATGCTCGACACCGCTCCCTTCCTCAACTCAGAAATGATCCGCCAACATGGAAACACGCACTTCTCCTCTTAACGGAAATGCGCTATGAATCTTTTACTCCAAATTTCGTTCGTGTTCCTCGATCTCAGGAAACTTTCAATGAACCGTTGCAATTCGCAATCCACGTCGCCATTTTCTGTGCTTTGCAAGCGTTACCACAGGATTGGGCATTGGTTCTGGCATTTGAAGTTCAATTAAGTATTTACATTATCTGGACAGCTATTCAGTTACTAGTAAGGTACAAAGGTAGTCCTGCCCTTTTTGGAAGATTGTATGCTGTAGAGAGTTTAGGAGATTTCTGGTAAGTCATCTGATTTTCGAAACCTTGAAGTAGGAACGCAAAACTCACAATCCCAGGTCAAAAACATGGCACAATGTATTTTCCGCCCCCTGTGCCTCTCTCGCCTACGATCCTATCCGTCAGAATCTTCCAAAACTAGGAGTTTCAATCCCAATCGCTCGATCGATGGGCATCTTAGCTGCCTTTTTCCTAATGGCGGCTTTTCATGTTTATGCTTTAGCTCCCATGTTGACGGATAAAGCACTTTTCCGCATCGGAACCTTCTTTGTGCTGAATGGCTTTGCGACGGTGGGAGAAGCGATGGTTTGGGGAAGAAAAGATAGTTGGGTTAAGACTGGATTGGCGTGGGTGACGGAAATGAGTTTGGCGGCTTGGACGGCGGGTGCGTTGGGGATTCCGAGGGGGGTACATGGTATTAAGTGGAGGGACATTTGTGAGGTGAGGATCTAGCGGATTGTTGGGTTGGGGTTGCGGGAAGAGTATCTTGATGAAATGATGAAGTATCATGCTTGGAATTGTCTTTGGATGATAATGCGGTTGGCATGGAAAATGCAACGTAATGAAAATGAAAATGAATGAATACAAATAACAACACAGATATGAATAAGTAACTATGATCTTATAAGTTCTTAACAATTTTCTCAGCGTCAAAATTCTTCTTCCTCCTTATCATACCCCGAAATGAACGCCAAGAAATAAGAACTCCCTCACAATCCTCCAGCTCTCCTCTCATTCTCCTCCCACCCTACTCTCCACAGCTCAACTTCCCGCTGCAGATTCTCGATCTTCTCTTCCATTTCCCGACTTTTCCTCTCGGCTTCCTGTCTCTTCGTCTCGGCTTCCTGTCTCTTCGTCTCGGCTCCGGCGATCTCGCGCTCCTGCGTCTCGATCACTGATCGATACCAGGTTGTGGAATCCATCATTTTCTCTAGTGCGCGGGTTAGTTTTTGGAGGGCTACGGTGGTGGATTTTTGGGAGGATTTTTCGGAGGTGTAGAGGGTTTGGAGGGCGTGCAGTTCTGCGCTTTTGGCGCGGTGGGAGGAGGTGAGGTGGGTGATTTGGTGGGAGAGGTGGGTTGGGAGGGTGGAGGTGGAGGTGGAGGTGGAGGTGGAGATTTGAGAGGGGAGAGTGAGAGTGAGAGTGTTGGGGTGAGAGTAGCTCGTGCTTGTTTGGGGGGGGATTGCGGAAGGGGGATGCGAGTTTTGGGGGGTGGGTGGAAGGATGGGGGGGGAGGGGGGGCAGACGGTTTGAGAGTATTTTTCGAATAGGTTAGTTGTTTGGGGGGTGCGGTGGCGGTGGCGCTCTCGGCCGATTGTGAATGGGTAGTCGGGGTTGCTGGAGGGCTGTGGAGGGGGAAAGGTAGGTTTCTCGTCTGTGAATATCAAGAGGGGGTGGAGATGATTGTGCAGGTTGAGGGAGGGAGATGGAGGGCTGGTGCATGTGAGTGGTTTGCTAGATTGGCTGTTGGGTTGGGTGGTCGGAGAAGGGGGTTTTGATGATGATGATGATGATGATGATGATGCTGATGCTGAATTGGTCTGCAGTGGAAGGGATTGGAGATTAGTTATTCATTTCTCGGAACAGATGAGAGAGAAAGTGAGGAGAAGGAGGAGAAGGAGGAGAAGGACAAGGAGTAAATACCTCACTCTCAGAACTGCTATCATCTTCATCTCCATAACTAAACTGATATCTTGCCATTTCGCAAATGATTTCGCATTTGAGATTAGATAGTACAGTGCTAATCTATGTATCCTCCGAAGTATAACAAATAAACAACGATCAACATTATGAAAATTTGAGAGGATGAGGAGGGGATTATATACTCCGTGGAAAGTTACAGAAGATAGATATAGAAGGAGAGAGAACATATGTCGCGTATGTATTCTCGCTCATCTATGTATTCCGCTCGACTCTTCTTTATGTACCTAGGGATGATGAGGAGATCGAACGAGACACTACTAGATTACTATTGCGTTACGCTTCGAGGGAGCGTATTGTATGTTCTTGTTTCATCTTGAGATATCTTGAGTAACTTTTGATGTGTGGGGATGAGAACTGAAGGGAAGCTTGCGCATAGGGGCTTGTTGATGGACTGATGTATCTCGCATTGTTCTATCGCTTTTTGAGGTTTTAGATACGATGATTATGTCCATGCTGTGAAATCAGATGAGATACATCGGGTTTACTTACATTAGATATTAGATGAGATGTGTACGGGTACTGCAATAGAGAGTAGAGATTTAATAACGCGAATTCATAGTATTCAAGCGAAATACCTACGCAGAAGATGAAATAAATCGTAGATTGTATATCCTGAATTGGATCCATAAATGTTGATTTCCAAATCGAATGGGGACAATACCGAGCTTCATTGGACGTGACACTCCAAGAACTTGATTCACGATGACTCATCGTCTCCACCCACTTCTCTGACTGCCCACCTCTTAAGACCATTCTTTCTCCTAGACCCCCATCACACATTCCCTCCCATAACATCCATATCCTCAAAACCCCCAAACTTCCAACCACACAAACAAAAACAAAAACCCAACCTAAAATGTCCACTCCCACTCCCACTCCCCCGCATCCCCGCGTCGGCGTAGGGATCTTCCTCCTACACCCCACTCATCCCCTCTCCACTCCCACCTCGCCCATTTTCCTCATGGGCCAACGACTCGGCTCGCACGGCGCAGGCATGTGGGCTCATCCGGGAGGCCATCTTGAATTTGGCGAGGAGCTTGAAGAATGCGCTATACGCGAAGTGGAAGAGGAGACGGGATTGTGTTTGAGGAGGGAAGATGTACGGCTCTTAACGGCGACGAATAGTGTTTTGGAGGGGGATGGGAAGGAGGGGCAGAAGGAAAGGAGACATTACGTGACGATTTGGATGGTGGGGAGGTGGGATGGGAAAGGAGAGGGGCCGAGGAATGTGGAGCCCGAGAAGTGCGCAGGCTGGGAATGGGTGCGGTGGGAAGATATGAAAGAATATGCAGAGGGAAATGGGGAGAGGAAATTGTATCAGCCTGTGAACGATCTTTTAAGGACTAGGGGGGAAGTGTTGCCTCCTCGTTTTGAGTGAGGGAGGGGTCGAGGTTGAAGTTTGAGATGATAAGTTTCAACCGCAAGCCTCTGGAGTCTGGATTATGAAAACGATCCTACAGATGTCGAGAGAATTTCAGCCTGGAAGGATAGTAAAATCACACATAACGTGATGCAGCATAGAAGTACTGATTTCTAGAAGCCAAATACTATTGATCGATGCGCCACACATGAACAACTAACGAGAATTTGGCAAGTGAAAAGATTGTTTTGAACATCTCTTTCAGTCCCAGATGTCACTTCTGATGAGTAAGCATCCGAGCCTGTGGTGACATTCAATCAGAATAATTCATGTAGAAATGTGTCTCTTATTTACAGTACAAACTATCCAAGGAAAGTTTTGATATTTCGAGCAATATCTGGAGATTCTTTGTTGAGTGAAGAATATTCCGTCATTTAAGTATATTGAGTTTGCTCTTGAATTAAGAAATCATGAAAATGACAAATAGCAAACAAAGATGATGTGACGTTTCAAAACACCCAGAGTGATTTTCGAGACTTTCCGATATCCAGTTGCATTCTTATAGACTAACTTAGATACTTCTAGCAATATCGGCAACGTCCTTGGCATTCTCGATATCCCAGCAAGCATCGCTCGCTTCCTTCACGGATTCGCCTAAAATACTAGTGCACTGGTCTACGAACTTCTGCTGCAGCATTAGATCATCCATTGGTACCTCCACGCTTCCAATTGCATGCTTGACATGTTTTTGAAGTTCTTTCCCATTCTCGTAGATGATCGTTATTATTGCTTCGTCAGCACCCAAACTACTGTCAGCTACAGCATTGACTTTATCGCGGATGAAAATAACCTCTGGGCTTTGAACTACGTGGTCCTCGTATTGACTCGGAGTTCCTTTTCCAAATAAAAGACCCATGGCAGCCCCATGATAAACGCTGAACTTGCCTTCCAGTCCATCTCGGGGCTTCTTTTTTCCAGTGAGTTCTAACACAAGAGGATGGACTTTCGCTTCAATAGATTTGATATCCTTAGCACTCAACTCAGCACCTTCCACGTCAAGCTTGAGCTGAGAGAAAGCATCGATAATAGGATGAATCACAATCCCACATGGGAATGGTTTGAGGCTATTCCTCAAAATCTCCCACCTACCAGGCCTTTCTGTAGTGGGCAGACCAAAGGCATCATTGGTTCCCAACCATTTCGCTAGACTTTCCCCAATATCTGGCTTTGTAACACCAACAACATTAGCCCAGCCTCTTTTAGCTTCTAAAGCCTGTTCACTACTAGTGTAACCACCTTGAGCCAACACCGCAGCCATGAGACCATTTTGAGCTGCATGACCGGGATGAAAAGCCTTCGTGTGCGACCCAAACATTTCTCTCAAGCCAACAACTTGGGTTGCGGCGATTCCCAATGCGTGCGTTGTCTGATCAATAGGAAGATTTAGTAGCTTCGCAACAGCTGCAGCAGCCCCGATAGAGCCTGTCGTGGATGTAATGTGCCACCCTGCATCGTAATGTTCTGGCCAGACTGCCAGACCAACTTTACATTCCGCTTCAATGCCCACGATCAAGGCGAGTAGAAATTCTTTTCCCGAGAAGCCACCTTTCCATTCTGCAACTGCGAGAAGTGCACTAGCAACTGGACCTGTGGGATGGATAATTGTATCGAGATGGGTATCATCGTAATCGTGCACGTGAGATGCTATTCCGTTCAACAAAGCTGCATGCTGTGCATCGACACGACGAGATCCTTTGTGGCCAAGCAATGACGCCGAGGGAGTACCAAAGAATGGAGACAGAGAAGTATACTTTCATGGAGATTCAGTACATTGAATACTTGGAAACATGGAAGCTAGAGATGGAAACTTACAGCTATAGTAGTTGCTGGATGATCACTTCCACCGATTGCGCATCCTGCCCAGTTATAGAAACTTCGCACAGCAGCTCGGATGACATCGGGTGGTAAATCGAAATATTTTAGACCATGTGCCCAAGATGCCAAATATGCTGTAGCCATTTGATCCGATCTTCTTAAAACGAATCACGGAGATGCTTCGGAGATAAAAGGTTGAGGTACTCGGTATCACTCGAAGAGAAGATCTAATATTCTAGACTAGTATGTGTATACTGAAATGACCAAGAAATCAATGATTGGAGAATCAGATATCTATGGTTGGATATTTTGTCGAAGCTAGATTGGAATGATGCATGAAAGTTGTTTCTTGAAGTAGTTATTAGAAATAGACGGAAGAACAGTTCCGTATAGTTCAAAGGTGGATAGGGAAACCCTTGGAGCTTGTGGACAAAGTGACGTTTTCTAGCTAGGATTAGTCGACCCGCGTTGACATGCGGAGAAGTTATCGAAATGGTGGGTGTCCCACCCCACAAAATAGGTGAGGAGGAAAGTACGAAAAGCTTTCTCTCCAAGCCTTGAAGTTGATTTATAATGCTTCACATGTTGTATGGATATTCTTCAACACCCACTACTTCAACAGTATCAATACTATTGGCCGCATGAGCTTCAGATCTATTGTTTGTGATAGACAGCAGAACCTGATGTGCTTCAGACCCAATGCAAAATCCCTCAAAATGTAAAGTGCGGGGTTAAACTTGCATATGGAAAGGACTCCCCTTGGCTTTTCAAAAATAAACTATGAAAAGAGATAGAACATCAAAATAATTACCAGGTATTCCCACACCAATGTAGTGTCTTGAGATCTACCTTTGTATGTGAATCCTTTCTCTAGATATATGTTTGATGATCAGAACGTTACGTAGCTCCCCTAGTAAGCAAGTTATCGGCTGTAAGTAAGCGACAACAAAAGGTTATCAGTATAAGACGACCATTTAGGAAGGGTCGACACTTGAAAGATAAAATATCATTGTCAAAGCCAGTTGACAATTGAAAACTTACCGACCTACATAAACATCCTTCTTACCTATGCTATCATTACCCTACCATCCCACTGAGTCTGTAATTCATACCACTTGTCATTTCCTGGAAATATGACAAAATTCTTTGGTCTCCGAGGTCAGGCACTTCATCGAGCAATGATTTGGGCCGTCATCATGCCTGCTTATATCCTGTGAGTACAGAGCAAATCTAAAAGGGAAGCTAAATTACATTGCCTAATATTACTAAAATGTAGATTTGGGTACAAAAATGCTGTGAGTGCTGCTACCCTCCATTAAAAACATCAAGCTTCGGACAAAAACATGGCATACCAATGCTAAACCATTTAGGTCGCCGGTGGACTACTTAGTCTACCAGCCTGGATCAAAACTTTTCCAGAGCTTAACACCCTTACTGTCATAGGCACTCAGAAAACCAACAACTCTCGGTTGCAGGTAAATTAAGGCGAATACTTCTCATACCTTTACTTTGCCATTGACTTTTTCAAGGGAACTGTCGTTGCTCTCTATACTCTTGGATGCTTTTTTGGCGCCTTGTCCTGTATCAGAATAGGCGATACTCTAGGTCGCAAACGAACAATCATGCTTGGAGCAGCAATCAACATAATTGGCGCCATCCTTCAATCTTCATCTTATTCCCTAGGTCAATTAATCGTTGGACGTCTTGTTTCCGGCTTAGGTTTTGGTGCTTTGACAGCAACCGCTCCGAATTGGCAATCAGAATGTTCTAAAGCACATCACCGTGGCTCAGTGGTGCTTCTTGAAGGGTTGTTCATAAGTGCAGGTTTAGCAACGGCTGCTGTTGGTCACCCCTTTCTCTTTTTCGCGACAATTATTTTAATCCTCAATCATCACGGGCCAGAGAAGCAACAAAAACTGACATCAATCAGTGGGTAAACTTTGGAATGTCTCATTTGTCCGGAGGAGTCACTTGGAGATTTCCGCTAGCACTCTCCATGGTATGGTCCATTGTCGTACTGATTACCACGCCACACATGCCAGAGTCTCCTCGTTGGCTGGTCAAAAAAGGACGAACAGACGAAGCACGGGAAGTTGTGTCAGCATTGGACGACAAGCCCATAGACTCAGCTCAAGTACAGGCCGATATAGCAGAGATTGAAGAAGGTCTTGCGATCACCGGAAATGGCTCATTCCGTGATATTTTTTTGCATGGACGATGAACGTCTTTTCCACAGAGCTTGTCTTGCTGTATGCGGACAAATGTTTCAGCAAATGAGTGGTATAAACGCTCTCGCTTTCTATCAAGCTACCATTTTTGAGACTGGCCTCGGGTTATCAGCACAAACGTCTCGTGTTCTCAGTGCTTCTGTCTTCTCTTGGCAGACCCTTTGCTCCCCGATAGGAGTTTTAACAGTTGATCGATTCGGAAGGAGAAAGCTGATGATGTTTGCCGCGTTTGGAATGGGATCCTGCATGGCGATTATTGCTGGAACATCTTCCCAAATTACTAACACCTCATGTGTCATCGTCGCTGCAGTATTCATTTTTATGTTCTCGTTGTTCTTCCCCACCGGATTCCTAGGACTGACTTTCCTCTATGCTTCGGAGGTTGCACCGCTAAGCGTCCGAGTCCCTATTACTGCTATGTCGACAGGTATTTATCCGACAGGAATCACTATTTGCGTTTGTATTGACCGAATGTTGTAGGAAGTGCATGGATTTTCAATTTCATTGTCGCAGAAATAACACCAGTGGGATTCGCTACTATAGGATGGAGATACTACATTCTATATGCTTGTATCAACCTCTTCTTGATACTCCCAGGTGAGTGAACGTCCGATTGATGGAGGATAGAGGCATGCATTGCTGATTTTGCTGATAGGTGTATACCTCTTCTTTCCCGAAACCAATGGTCGTCATCTCGAAGAGGTTGACCAAATATTTCTTCGGAGCAAAAGTATTCTCGACACTGTACGAGTGTCCAAATGCATGCCCAGAGGATCTGTTAGCTCTACCTCCACTGGTGGGGCCGAAAAGATTGAAGTGATTCTGGTTGACAAGGTGGAAGAAGCTGTTTGAGGTCGTTGTGCTTGGCGCCAAGTATCACAACAGCTCTTGTGATCTGAAAGATCTCAGACGTCCAGCTGGGTTGTCAAATAGGTGTAACACTGCCGGTAGCAGATACTTGAGAATTTGCATGGTAAGAACCTGAATATCATTCTTGAACATCTGGTATACAAGTCCACTTAGACTTTGATTGAAATTGATCGAATAATGAGATGAATGAATGAATGAATGTAGATTTCCTGCTCCGATGTACTGTCCAAGATCTCCCGTGTTTGGCTGCTGCAGAATTTGAAAAGAGAGCTTGAAAGGTGCACAATGCTGACATCAGATGTATTGTGTAATATTTGGAAAAGATTGCTACAGATGATTTCGAGGTTTGCAGGTAAATGGAAATCTTTACAACTGGAACTACCACGCGTAGCTACGAAGTCTGCTGTGCAAGCCGCGAATTCTGTGTGTGCATTGCATGCAGAAGTGATACACCACGATATATACGAGTATCTTAGACAATGTTTCCTAACATAGAAGCTTGTGATGATGGATCAATATATATTCCGATTATTATTCATCATAGAAACTTTAGTTCTTCTAACCTCAATCGCAAGGCATTCAATTATTCACTTTGTCTTGTCTTAGGCGTGGCCCAAAAAAAGCCGAGAACAGGCAGAATAGAGGGGCGTCGCGTTGTCAAGCTTCCGAATGATACATCCATCTTGCATTATTTTATTTCTTCACAACTTCAACTTCTTCGAAACCACAAATCTGTCCCTTTGAAAGTTTTCTCCAGGTTACAAGAATCTTTAGGATACGTGGTCGTGAAATATCCAGCAAAATCGTACAAGGTGTGCGTCATTTCGTCTGAAGCAGGAAGGTGAGGGGTATTATAAATAGGTGAATGACATCCCACTAATCACTGTGATATCTAGTATCTCTTCGTCTCCGCAACACATACCCTTCTCTGGGAGATCTCTCTATCCAGTTTTATCATCTACTACGAGCTACGAAAGCTACTCCTCTCTCAAAGGAGTAGAATCAGTATAAGAAACAGAAATAGCAAGTTATGGCTTCGGAATTCTTCGTTTCCCTTTGGGAATCCATCTTCACACCTGGTCCAACTCCCGTCCTCCTTGCTGCAACCAATGCCACGTTCGCAGCCCTACAACTTGTGTTCTTGTCCCTCTTGATCGCTACATACAGTATCCATTTCGTGATTCTATCGTTCCTTTGTGGCGGGTTATGGTGGGCTATAAACTGGTTCGCCGCAGAATTGAAGGCAGTGAAAGAGCAAGAGGAAGCACGAAAGAAGACAGAAGCGGGAGCTGGAGGAGACGCTAGTGATACAGATGTAGAGACTGTTGTTGATGACGATGGTCCGCCGGGAAGCAAGGAAGTCGAGGTCTTGGAAGTCAAGGGAGAGTTGAAGAGCAGAGCACATTCTACGGGAGGAGGAAATAGGAGTGAGCCCAGTACCGAGGATGAGTGGGAGAAAGTTAGTGAGAATGAAAAGGATAAATAAACATCGCAGAGGGGAATTGTTGGAAATGACGGCACAATGTCCGATGGAAAGATGGGAGCTTGAGGAAATACCCGGTTATTTAGATGATTATTGAATGTTGGTGTACCTGAAGTACAATGTTTGAAACTTATACAAGACACTATGGATACCCCCAAAGCATATTACAATGGACATTATTTTCCACTATTTGAATTACTTAGGTAGAAATTTCCCTTTCGTTCACTCCCATTGCCAATCCGAGCTAGATGTTCCAGCTTTACGCAGGGAGATTGTAGCCTTAAATATCAGGCCCCAAAATCATTTCGAACCTCGCGATAAAAGCTTCAAATGCTTTATTTATGTAGAGGCCCATCAATCGACCTCACGATCCACTATCAACCTTCAATATACATCAACAATAAAACCGGCATTATGAAGCTCGTCAGGTAAGCCTATCCCTATTACTATAAGGCCTTTCAATTGGCTCGCGCTGAGCTCAAATTCTTTCTCAAGGCTCCCATCTGAATCTCCTGACTGACTTTCTCCTTCCATGGTAGGTTTCTCATGAAATGCGCGAACGAAACGGTCACTATTGAGCTTAAAAATGGTATGAATATCACCTGCTATTCCCAAGCTCTTTGCGCTGCCAAATAACTGTCTATTAACAAGCATACTAGGCACAATCATCCACGGTACCATAACTTCCGTATCTCCTCAAATGAACACAGCTCTCCGCACCGTCAAGATGACGCCAAAGAATGGCACATCTCTCACCCTTGATACCATTAATTTACGAGGCTCCACGATTCGTTATTACATTCTGCCCGATTCGTTACCGCTCGACACATTGTTGATAGACGATGCACCAAAGCCAAAGAACAAGGCGAGAAAGGAAGCTGCAGGCACTACCGATACTAGAGGCGGTAGAGGTGGTAGAGGCGGACCTAGAGGTGGACGAGGTGGAGGACGAGGAGGCGGTGGTGGATTCAGAGGAGGTCGAGGACGAGGCGGTGGAAGAGGATTCTAAGGATTGCATACAATGGGCAGATGGGAAATTCGATGATCATTATGACGGTAATGGCGGCAAGTCGAGAATTTGGAAGGGGAAGATTATATTAAGAATGTTTGCTCTACTTGACTATACAGACGGGAGATAATCAAGGGAGAAAGAGAGTGCCATGCATGCACAGCTTGTGGGAATATTGGCGTTTCGAGTGGCATATGAAAAGCAGCTAAATCGATCACTTACGAACGAACAATGGGATGCCTTATCCATGGGCTTTGAAATACAAATGGGCTTTTTTGACCGCATCAAAACGATATGGACGAGTGCTGGTTACGTTGATTTCAGGTGGTGTTAGGTGGCATACGCCAAATCCTAACAATTTGCAATTTTTCCCATCCCCCAACCTTTCCACTATTACTAACGGTTTCCGCTTTCCACTCGTCTCCAAAACCACGTATTCGTTGTTTGACATCCTCGGGTTTGTTCTGCGCGCAGAGCAAGATGTACGCACAACCTCTCTCCTGGTTCAGAACCTCCGGCAAAGCATCGATTAGCCGATCCGTAATTTCCATACCATCCACTCCACCTGCATACGACAAAGCTAGTAATTTTGAGTCTCCTTCATATGACAATGACCCATCCTCGTTTCCTGCCCCAGAAAGCTCTGGTATAGGCACATCCGGACTTGGCACATATGGCGGATTAAAGATCAATAGATCTGTCATTCCAGGCTTCAAAGAAGTTCCTAAATTTCCCACCACATTCCCTAGATACGACCCGTGTGATATGTTTTGTGAAGCCTGTTCCTTCTCCGCTACTCTCACTGTTTCCTGTGTAGCCTCACATGCATAGCGATTGACATCGACGCCCGCTGTAAGAATATCCGCTCTGCCAAATATGATTTCTGCATGTGCATGTACAAAGGAGAGAACAACTCCAGATCCAGTACCAATCTCTACTACCAATGGAGAGGGCGATAATGAGCTCTGTTCGCTTTGAAACCGTTGGCGCAGAAATTCTTTTTCACTCGCGGAGGATAAGGTGTCGAGGAGTAGAAAGGAATCTTCGGCAGGCTCGTAGATTCTATCGAAAGACACATGTGAGGTATCGGGAGTCGGAAGCATTTCTACCTTGTTGGCGCAACAGAGTGCGTGTAAGTGAACGCGAGAAGGCTGCAATTGAGATGGGAACAAGAGAAGCCGCGAAAAGCTCAAAACACCCCTTGTCGTGAAACCTTTATCTTTCTTTCAAAATCACTGGGACAGTTTTCTTTTTCGAGATTGCAGAAGCTTCCTCTTTTCAAAACTGCAGTTAAAATTAAACTTTCCTTACAAGCCCCAGATTTGAAAGTTCCTCAGATGTGCAACAGATCTTTTGGTTGAGTGAGAAGCAAATAAGTGACAAGGCTGATAAATTAATTTTTGGCGGGGCAATAGATTGCCGAAAGCCATCAAGGATCGATGACTTCACGAGCTCTCATGCCTCATTCCCCAGATTTTACAATCAACACCCACATTTCAAAATGAAGCTTTCACCACGCTTGTTAATGGCGTCGCCTTCGGCGGCAGGTACTGGGAAGGGATTGAGGCCTGCACCTTTGGCTTTACTGCCACCGATTCCTTTGTATCGAAGGCTGTTTAGAGCGCATAGGAAACATTTACCGAGAGAGATGAGGTTATTGGGGGATGAGTATATTAAGAGCGAGTTTAGACAACATAGGGAGGTGGAGAATCCGGTGCATATCGTGAGTTGTGTGCTTTGGATAAGGCATGAAGGGGACTGGGATGTACGAAAGCTAATTGAGAGATAGATTGGCTTTTTAACAGAGTGGCAGATGTATGCACAAAAGCTTGAGGGAGAAAGTTGGATTGGGGAGCGTATGGATAAGGAGAAGATTGACAAGATGAGTGGTACGCATTTTGCTAGAAGTTTGATAACACCAAATGCTAACAGAGAGTTCAGATCAACAATTAGGGCAATTGTATGAGCTCATGCAAGCAATACGAAAGAAACAAGTGGAGGAAAGTGGCGAAGAGAACCCCGGGCCTGAACAGTTATAAAGCTATAAATGGTCGGACTTGTACGATATGATATGTACATATTTACATGGGATGTGCGGAGTTTGGAATGGGATATTGCATCGGAGGACTAGCGTTACTTCTCAATGGATGATGAGATATACCCATACGTACATAATGACTCTCGTCTGAGGAAATTCGATTGTAATATGAGTATCAGCCTCATCATTCACTTTTCGTTCCTTCCTATGGATCACTGTGAGAAGAAAGAAGTTTACAGCTTTTTGTTTGTACTCCGTCGATTCACTCACACTTGCCTGATTTCTCCTTCAACTCGCATTTCTTAAAAGCGCCGTCGGATTCACATTTCCGGGTAGAAGAAAGTACCCAGCAATTTGTTACTCCGCTACAGATTTCAAATCATACTCAAACTATCCATTAATTAACATCTACCAAAAAAATGTGCAAATATACCTTCCACCAATCCTCCACCTGCCACGAGCACCAGGACCCCAACGATCATTCTCATACTCGTTCTCACCACCGCTCTCACCACCACCACTCCCACTCCACTCCCCCCAAATCCAAAGAGAAAAATGTCCCTCACCAGCCCTGCCAATGGATTCAAATTGCCCAACCATGTAATTGGGGCATGGGTCTCCTCACCTGTCCCATATTCGCCTCTAGTGCATTGAGAATCGAAGGTCCGATGATTGTAAGAGTGGCGAAATACATGTGTCCGACGCATGATTTCAGGGGGGTGTATGATAGAAATTTGGTTAAGATGGTTGAGGAGAGGAAGACGGGGGGATCGGTGAGTTTGTTTGGGTTGTGGGTAGGGGAAGTGAGGGAAAGGACTAGAAACTGAGATGAAATAAGCTAATACTGCGCGTGGGAATAGTGGTTTGGTCCACCTGATATGACCCCAGAGCCAAGGAAGAAGGAGCTCGAGAAGAAGAAAAAGGTTCAGAGGAACGATGATATTAAACTTTGTGTTACTATGTGAGGAAGAAGATGCGAGTACGAGTGGAGGGAGAAAAATGCAATTGAGAGTATGTCAAAAATACTTTGGTCCCAGAGTGTCACTAATTGCCTTTCTAGACAGAGATTTGCTCCATGCATGTGTTTCCTAACGTGCGATGGCTCAAAACGATTGGAGCGTCGGAGCTTCATTGTTCGGAATCAGAGCACACACTGAAAGGGCATTCTTCGAAGCAAATTGAAGACTTTAGCTTGATATGTTCAGTAATTTATTTTGGTCATCGATGACTCTATGCTGTCTATAATAATATTGCCAATTCCCAAGATCTATTCTGCATCCAGTGGTGCAACAGGGGCCTGATCATTGACCTGAATGCCACCTCTCTTCTTCTCGTTCGAATCATGGAACGGCAGTTTCCATCCTCCCTCACTCTCTGGTGTCGCCAGCCACAGTCTCATAAGATGTCTCCTTGGTGCTGGTGGTGCATGATCTTTATATGCAGTACGAGCATGCAGTACGTGTTCGTTACTCAAGAATTGGATATCACCAATCTCGAGGATCATATGCAATCTCAATCGGTGACAAGTCTCTTCCAAAACCTTAGCAGCCTCAACTTGTTCAGGTGACAAAGGTGGAATGACTCCTGCGTCCGAAAATCGAGTGAGAGACTTCACGTAGTATGGATCCCATTTTGAGTATACACGACCATTGGGGCCGGTCTCGAGATAAAAGACAGAGGTCTTGATGTATGGTTCTTCACCAACACTGACTTCTCCCTTTCTATCAAAGTACCAGATAGGTTTGGTAAGTGTTTCTGCTACATCGGGGCGTTCTTTTTGCAAAGTGTTCCAGACGTGGTGCGAAGAAACGATGTCGGATTCCCCGCCTTCGAGCGCTCTTGCAATGCACAGAAGGCCGACAATATCAGAGTCATCAGCGTGGAAGAATTGTCTATGTTGTTAGCTTTTTAACATAGGATAACAATAAGATAGAGACTTACCTGGCGTTGGTTCTATAAATTCTGACTTTATCAATCTGTGTAGAATCCTCTCCAAGATCCTTAACGTGTCCAAGAACATGACCTCGACCATTTTGACTAACAAAATATCCAAGGTAGGTTCCTAATCCCATGTATGCAACGGCAGATTTATGGTTCCCCCATTTCTCGACTGGAAACCCTTTGAAAAGGATAAAGCCCTTTCCGTTCAAAGTTTCCGTTCGAATTGAGGCTAATAAAGTAGAAAGTTTTGAGAGGCGGAAAGTATCCTGCTTGGAATTAGTCAAAGAAAATTTTAATTCGTACTTGGACGACGCTCAAGTATTACACAACGTACCTGAGAAATACCCGTCAGAGGGATTTTATCCGCGATGAACTTATCCGCTACAGCACTCAATTCTGCGATTTCCTCTTCATTGAAAACATGAACCCATCTTTCCGGGTTATTGATATAATCTTCTGCTTTCCATACTGTTTCTCCGGTGATTTCTTTTGGAAAATCAGAGTAAGGTCTCAATTGATCGTAAAGTGGCGGATGTTGACCCGAAGTTTTGATACCATCTGGGAAGACTTTGCGATCAATGGTTTTTTGGGATGGAGAGGAAAGTTGATGGGGTGCTATAGGCTGGGTATCAAGAATTGAAGGAGCCATTTTTACAGTTTCTCTCTCCGATGTTAAATGGTAACTGAAATAAGTGAAGATATTCGAAAGTATCAAAAATGTGATTTGATATTGAAGGATAGAAAGAGAAGGATTTCGAAAGAGGGGGATGATATCTACTTATTATTATTATTTATCTTATCTCATACTTGATAATTGCGTATGTCACTCCATCTTTTCTCATAATGACGGAAGTTTAGGTTCGGTTTCATTTGTAGATCTACTTTCTTTGGTCAATTGCGTGATATCTATATAGATATGGCGAAATCGCTGGTTTCCAGGTTGCTCCAGATTGCTGGGGTTGCAGGTGTTGGCCGAGGGCGTCCGGCCAGGATGATGTGGGGCAGATTTCCCCTCTTTGTGGCTGAATAGGGAGGAGCATGGGAAAAGAAGCCATCAAGAATTCGTCGAACTCATCTCAATAAACAAGAGCGTTGCTCAAATAGTTCTAAATGATAGATATATTATACAGTTTACAGAAATATATTATACAGTTTACAGAACGAAGAAGAAAAACAACAAACGTGTTTAACATTGGTAAACATCAAAATGTTTCTATATCATACCAAAATTATAAGCCAATACCCGTGTTTGAAAAAGAGAAATTGTGAACGTCGAGCTCTGATTGTTGATCTGGTGGAAATAGTGCATCGAATGCGTCCTGTAGAGAAATCAGTAACAATAGATATTAGATATACTGGAAACACATACCCAATCTATGTCAGCCATAATATCATCGTTAACACTTGGTGGTTGAGATACTATCTGCTGTCCCATTGTGCTAGCTGGACTGGTTACTTCACTAGTCCGCCCAGTTGGATAAGTCCCGACAGGTTCATTGTTTGAAACACTCGAGAGTATTGCATCTGAGTCAGAGAGGGGCATTTTACCGATTAAATATGGTTCGGGATTCGGTATGGGACCCGTTGCGCGACCTTCTTCAGGAGTTGGCTTAGGAGGCCGCTGGCCAACAAGATTGTTCATAGTCACTGGTGCTCGCATCCCTCTCATACTTTGATATACGGCCGTCTTCTGCTGCAATTCAGAAAGGATCTTCCTTGCTTTGGTAAGTCGCGGCAGGTAAGGGTCACACTCAAAGACATAATCGAGGCACGACCAGATTTGATTTGCCTCCTTTCTCTGGGGATGAACATATACTTCCATCAGAAGAAGAAGGGCCGTATGATATTGTTGAAATGCCCCCACATACCATTCCCAGTTGCGGAGTGCTGGTGTAGTCTCCAGAGCTATTGCACTTTCCATGGAATGGAGGCCAGAAGTGATCATAATGTTGCGTAAACGGTCGGGCATACGGTAATGTGTAGAACTATGATAGCTGTGAAGTAGCATGACATGCATTCGAGAAAGCAGAACGGATTTGACAAGCTTTGCGCACTTTTGGATGGGCACTCTATCATCCATAAACTTGTCATATTTGGTCATGTTTTGCCGAAATGTCTCTACCT